TTCAAAATCACAGCTTCCGGAGAACCCAAGTTGAAATTAACTCATTTCCTTTTTGAGGCAGTGCATACATGCTGTTGATCAGCCCTAGCATGATAGTACTTTTAAGAGCTCAGTTAGGCTGGATGATGTTTGTAGGCCTGCAGGAACAAGCTGTCTTCCCACAGGTGTTCTGATACCATGGCAACTGTCCCTTTAGAAGCAGACAGATAGCAACCCAAGCCCCTGAGCCATCCCATTGCCCAGAACTACTGAGGCTTTACTAGTTCTAGTAAACATTAGAGGCTGCACTAAGCCTGATGTGATCAACTGCACTCTCATATCTTCAAATGCATTTGTCCCACTGTTACCCTCACTAAAATTACTATTTCAGTGACAGTGAAATAATTCCTATGAAGTACAAATTACTTAGAAGCTTTTGGATAGAACTTAACTGTACAAGTTAAACCTATTTATCACAGCTATGATCAGTGAACTGAAGACAGTAAGGCAATCTAATTTTACTGTTTTATTAAGATGTAAAAGTTGGGCATGGCTACACTACAGGTAAATTCCTATAGAGATCTTCCATTGCAAACACAAGATACTGTCCAGGGAAGCAGGACCAGGATGTATTAGAAAAATTAATTTCTAGCAATTTACATCTGTTATTGCAAAAGCAACTTGTCTTGCAGCCACTATGTCAAGAGAGATAGAGAGGCATTTGTCTTTGTTCTGAAAATGTAACATAACAGTGAAAAGCAAGGGGGATGTCAAAGGCCAGACTAAGAGGACTCTCATGGGTTTGCCAGATAGGTCAGAGTTAGGATTGTCTGCCAGTTACTGATCCGAAACCTTTGCACTAAGTCTGACTGGGATGAAGGTAATTTTCACCATAACAACTCCCGTGGTGCTCCTGTGATAACAGACTAACATTTCAGATACTGCTGAACAGCATTTGTGCAGCATGAAAGCATTCTCTTCTCACTCTTACCCCCAGTGAATAGATTGGAGTGTGTGAGAGGTAGGGAGAGGACACAGCTAGGCATATGACCCAAACTGACCAAAGAGATTTTCCATGCCCTACAATGTCATGCTTAGCAATAAAAGAGAGGGAAGAGTGGAGTTAGGTAGGTTGGCTATCTATTGCTTGGGAGATGATGGGGCATCAGTCTAAAATGGGAGATGGTTAGTGATTGCTTTTGTATCATGAGGTCTGTTTTTTTTCTCTATATCTTCTTTCATTTTTCCATTGTCTGTCAAAATGTTCTTACCTTTACCCATGAATTTTATGGGGTTTGCTCTTTCCTTTTCTCCTTTCCCATAAAACTGTCTTTAGGGGTATGGAAGGGAGGAAGTGTCTGTGTGGTGCTTAGGTGCCCCCAAGAGTTTAGCCTAAATAAATATATAAATATCATATAAATATAACTCATATAAATTTCAGTTTTCAGGACAACTCTCTAGGTGTGTGTTTAAAACCCATGAATTAATGGAATCGAAGCTTTTTGTAGAATAGTTTTGTGCTCTGAAGTCCATGGAATCGGGGATCATTGAACAGGCAGAGAAATTCCTCATATTTTCTGGAGAGCACCCTGTGGAGTGAGGCACGGCCTCTGAATCATTCCAGTCCTTGTCTTGCCTTCTTTGTCTTTCATAGTCAATGGTGATGTCTGATGAGACAGCCTTTAAACAGCAGCCACCATGAGGCTTCTATCAAGCAAGATGAAGACTACTAATAGCACTTTGCTTCCTTGTTTCAAACCATTGTGTTCTTTCCAGCCTGAAAGTTTTACTGCCCATTTGTGGATTTCATGTTTCAAGGAAGGCATTCCTTTCTCCTAAGAAAAAGCTGGAAATGTGAGGAAAACTGCAAAACCATGATTTTGAATATCATATAGTCTAAATATTTGCCTGGAAAAAATAATTCTCAGAGAGAGGTTCCATGCCAATAAAAAGCTGGTTAAGGAAGTAGAAAATGTATTTATATGTTCACTTCCCATTGGTCCTCCAATAAGAAGCTGCTCTAGTGTGTTATCCTTGCAGTGCAGGAATATGCCAGTGCATCTCTGTGTTATCTGAATGTGGGGTTAAGTCCTATACTTGCTGAGGATTGAATATAGGGAGCACAGACACAAAGATAAACGTTATACAGGGCCTGACTGGGATGGAGTTTAATTTTCGTCCATGCTGCTCTGTTTTGGATTTGTGACTAAAGCAGTGGTGATGGCACAGTGTTGTGGCTTGGCTTGTATGGCCTTGTGGCTTTCTCTTTTCCCAGTTCTGCCTCAGTAACAAGAAGGTTGGGGAAGCATGAGATATTGGGAGAGGATGTAACCAGGACAGTTGACCCAAACTGACCAAAAGGATATCCCATGCCACAAAATATAATGGTGGGGAGAGTTTGGGGTTTTTTTGAATGTAGATATTGCTTGGAGACTAACCAGGTGTCAGTATCAGTGTGCTTGTGGGAGGTGAATGGCTTCTTCACATCACTTTCTTTTGTTTTATTCTTGTTTATTGTTGTTTTCTTTCTTCTTCCTTATTCCTTCCTGTTTAAACTATTTTTATCTCAACCCCTGAATTTTCTTGCTTTTGTTCTTCCTATTCTCTCCTTGTCCAACAGTGGGGGAGTGATAAAGTGGTTGTGTGGGACTGACATGATGACCGGGGTTAATCCACAACGCATCCTAAAATAACAGTCATCTGTGACACCTGCCAGGCAGAACTCACACAAGACCTGATCTTCACTCATATGCATGAAGTTACTAATGGCTTAAATATTCTTTGTATAAGGCCCCAAAAGAGAAAAGAGGTGTTGAGGCTTCTGAGAGGGAGAATGGCACGGGTGAGTCCTAAACTTTCAAATAAAATATTTTTTTTATAATAGGCAAATCATACGTACACTGTGTGTCTTTACAACTGCTTTTATACAGGCGCTTTCTGATCCAGTTTGCATGTAGCCATCAATCCCCTCCAGAAAAGATCTCATTTGAAAGCTTGTCTATTGAATTGTGACTGGTATCTCCATAATGACATTTTTTAACAAGTTGTGGCAGGATGTCCCCCTGCCCTAGGAGGGCATATCTGTTGCCTATCAGCTGATTCAGTAGCTCAGGGCATCTTCCCCCTCACATGCATTTGCTAATTGCTGAAATAACTCAATCAGGACAGCTTGTCTTGTAGCAAGTTATTTCAGCACCATGGAGGTGACATTCCCAGCTGACAATAAATATCTTGCCTTGAGAGCAAGACTGTAGGAAGATAAGTTTGAATTTCTGACTGACTGACACTTCACTTTACAAGCTATAAAAGCTTTCACAAAGCAGACATCTTCTGCACATTCCCTGGTAATATGTGGAGATCTCTCCTCAAGGTTTGGGGTGCCTGTCTTGAGTTACTCTCTTGAATATTGAATGAAAGGTCTCTGTGGATCCCATCACCTGGTGGTAAGTTACATTTACTCCTAATCTATACTATTTCTGTGCTAGTTGTTATATAGGTACCTTTATGTCGTTCACTGTTTTATGTAATCTATTAGTAGTTCTTTTATTTTATCCTGTGTAGGAAGTAACTCTGTTCAAGGCCTTTTGTTTGTTAATCTCCTGTCTATTTAATAAATAACCCATTTTAGAATAGACCTGATCTGCCATTCTTGAGAACTTATGAGCCAGAGTGATTTAGGTGCACTTCTCCTAAGTAGAGCTGCTGTGAAAAATCTGAGCCTAAGGCTGGGCTTGTTCAAAGCTCTCACTTGATCCATAAGACAAGTGTATGAAAAGACTTGCATCTGAAAAGGCACCAAGACATTTACATCGTTAAAAAGCATTCAATATTTTTTACTTCCTTGACAGAACAACTATATATCAATAACAAGGGAAAAAACTAGCTTGGCTTTAAAGAAAAGGTTTTCTTTATAACTAAATAGAAAATTTGAATGCTGAACTTGGGCAAATGGTGTAATGTATCTGTTTATTTCCAGTTCTGTGGCGAGGTCAGTGATATCTACATTGCAATGCTGCCTTAGTATAGCACTGTATAATAAACATTTCTCAGTATTTGCTAGAGTTAGTGTTATACAGCCACTAATACATTACCTTGGGTGCACTATCCCAGAAAATACTAAAATGTGAATATTTCCCACTTGAGAAAGCTGAGACATCACCTTAGTCTTTTTCTACTTGATTTAATGTGCTCTAACCAATATCCTGTCAAGCTGACATTTGAATGCAGATAACACTGGTGTGTCTTTATATGTATATGTGTACATAAAATAAACATTTTGATACTATTGAGAAGAGATACAATATGAGTAGTTTACCAAAGACTACACATAGTGAGCATGAAAATATATTTTTGGAGCAACAAGCACAGATCTTTCAATATGAGTTATTACCTTTGTATGGTGAATTAGAGTTACCTGGACACTTATTAGACAGTGTTAAACATAGCCTTGGGATAGTTACATGACATGTACCTGAATTATAGCATAAACAAGTGATTCTGCATGAGTTTTTGATTGGATTCAAGATCAGAATATGCAAAAGCAATCAGAACCGAGCTGGATGTTGTTCAGGAGATCCTGCTCTGGTTTTTAATCACAGGTTCAGAACTGAACATAATTCCAAAATTGTGGTGAAGTTTCTTGACTTGATTTATGAAAACGAAAAATGATCCATGGCCTCTAGCCTGAAAGATGCATCTCCTTCTATCCCTTCCTGTGTCAGCTCGACTGGCAAACTTAGGTTCAATCTACTCCAGTATCTACAAGATATGGAGATGTTAGCAAGGTCTATTCAGCTTTGGTCTTTTTTCCCTGTCACAGTGGCAGGTACATCTATAAAATCACATCTTTCTGTTTACTTGCTTACACTTTTTGTCCACATCCACTCAGCTGACATATGCTTTTACCTCTTGATAAAACAGTTTGAGCTAGAAATCAATGCTGATATGAAAACTTATAAAAGCAGCTTCAAATCCACTCTGTTGAGTGCAAATCCATTTTCTTTTAATGAAGGCACACCTGCTTACAGAAGTGATGAATGTGGCAATGTGACAAGACATAAGTATGTGTTTAACTGTAAGTATGTGCTTAAATTTCCAAGCACTCTCAGGCTTAAAGTGTGTGTTCATTTGAGCTGAGAATTCTATTGCTGATTCTAATAACTGTGAAGAAAGCTGCTAAACTGATGATGCAATAGGAACTGAGATGGCAATAACTATGTGTGTGTCATCTTAAAAAATAGATACTTTTCCCCTTGCTGTGCTTGTAAATGCCATGATAGAAGAGAACATGGCTTTCCAGGCTATTTATTTGTTTCTTAGTGTGTTTGTTTATTGTTAGGATTCATGAAACAGATGCGGATAATAGCAATATTTTCCACTGTTTTTGGGTATTTCAGCAGGTGTGTATGGACAAGGTTAGCCTGATGGCTGGTTTTGTAAGAGTATAAGGGAATCTAATGAAGGAATTTCAATCACTAGGAAAGGGAATCAATGTCTGTCAGATTTCTTCAGGGCTTCCAAACAATGTTGTATACTTTTGACTATTGCCGTAGTATGAAGAAGATGCTTCCTTCTCCCTGCAGAGGTAGCACCACTGAAAGAACAAGATGAGATGCACTTGTTCTCATATTTTCTTCAGGTGTAATTGAAGAGGTTTCAGGTTTCAGGCAGTGAGGGCTGTGACTGAAAAACGTGTAGCATCGTGCAGTTTGAGCTAAATTACATCCATGCTATGAATTAAGCATAGACTTCATTGTACGTTTTGCCCAGGCATGTTCAGCAACAGCACTTCTTTAGTAAGGCAGTACAAGGATGCTGTATTAGACTGACCTCCACAATACTGGAAGGAAAAAGTGTGAGCCTGCATCCTGAATTAACTTAGGTGAGCTGTTTCTTTTACATGTTCCGGAGGGCTGGACATGTTCATACCAAGGGTTAAGTCCTCACAGATCTGTACAAAGCTGTAGACTTTCAGAAAATGATGTGAGTGTTTTGCAGTCTCGGGGTTTTTTCAGGTTGCCCAACAGTATTTTTCTTTGAAAGAGAATGTTTGCTTCGAGCCAGCCCTGCTGATGTCTGTGGTCCATCTCCTTCCAGACTGAGTGAAGCCCATTTTCTCTGTCTGCACATTCTTCTCCCATCTTTTGCACTTGAATGTTGCCTGGCCACTGTCTCGTGATTTTTGTTTTAATCACTGCTTTTACCTCCTTAGTCATTATTGCACCATGCATTGTGAAATGTTGATAGGATTGGAAGTCACTGTGTGCGTAATAAGATACTTTTTATTTTGTATTGCAATAATATAAATATTTTCTTAGGGTATCTTTTCTATTACATATTACACAGAGTGATTCGTTGTTACAGTGTACTCCTTGCATTTCAGAATGTCATGCGCTAGATCAAATGTTACTCTGATGATGTGAGAAGTGCCTTTACCACATTTTCTGATGCATTTACACCCCTACCAGGTGATACATTCTGTTGAACCAAGTCTGAAATGGTCCATTTTCTATCAGTACACTTTTGCTTGAGAATGTATTGCATGTCTGCTTTGAGTATTACAGCATGAAGAAAGAACTAGATCAACTTTATCATATTCACAATGAGAAAAGAAAATAAATGCATGCTGTATATGAATGTAAATAAGAATGCATGAATTCTTTAGTTATAGCGGTGCATAATAAATTGTTCGTTGTCTCCTGAGCTATCCCAAAATACAAGTTACAGAACAGATAACAAGTGAAAGCTTAAAGTGTCTGAAGATAATAGCTGAGGTAGCACTGCATTGATAAACAGAGAACACTTACACTAAACATCAGCATTAATTTTTTCCCCCCGTTTGGGGAAATCTATTAATAGCTTTCTTATTTCCATTCTGGCTTAATTTTCTGCAATTTGTGTGGCTCTGGCATCATTATATTTCAGTTTCTTTCTACTGTTGTGTCTATAGTCTTACTTATCCATCATTTTATTTGGCCCCCCATTTCAGACGTTAGATGTAAGCTGAGGTATTTACCTTGGCTATCACAGTTTGGAAGAGTCACTCAGAATGCTGTGGCAATGCTCTTCAAGAGGTGGACAGAGGCCTTCAGTCTGATTCGATTGTTCCCTTCATTCTCCCTTCCACAAAAAGTTGCTACAGAAATTTAGGAAAAGACGTGTTACAGACACACAGACACACACACTCCTCAACTGCTGGACAAAGAACACTTTATCACAATACACCCATCAGATAAATTGTAATAAACCCATGGCAACTTCTGTTAGAGAAGGTGAGTTATTACAATTAATTACACAATAACACACATCTAAAAAGATTTTGTCTTAGCCGCTGAGGTGTCATAGAACTGTTGGAATTGATCTGGATTCAGCCTATAAAGGACATGGAGATTGCAATTTTAAATCCTGTATCATTGAGCTGAGTACCATAGAACAAGAGAAAAAGAAATTATTTCATTACTGAAATACATAGTTATGAATGTAATTATTTTTTGCAGGTTGAAGCAAGCATTCAGCCTGGTTTACAGATTATATATTATGTCAATACAGGTTATATCAATACAACTTATGCTTGTGTGGATTGCAGGCTCTAATTCAAAAGGAGACCTACGTAGGGCTGGCCTAATTTGCCATTAAGGGGAGACTAAAATTCAATGGCTGTTAATTAAGTGATACAAGTTTTATTATAAAAGAAAATAAAGACCCGGGTGATAACTGCTCCCAACTTTTTGCAGGACGAGCTGATCCATGCAACCTAGTCCCATTCACACAAGACTATATTAATATCAATTGTACAATGTGGTCTTGGTTGCCAAAATCTTCTATGAAGCCTATTAATGCCTACTCTGGTCAAAGGAAAAATAGCATAGGTCATTGAAGAAAATAAAGTACATAGAAATAGTGTGACTAACATATAATAATTTTACTAGACATGGGAATAACATGATTAACAATACTCAATGTGTGCTCTAGGACTACCACAGGCTCTAAGGGTTGGACATAAGCTTGCCTATAAGGAGGGAAACTGAAATAACCATTCCAAACACAACCTAAACCATGAAAGTAGAGCTGGAGGTCCTGGCCAGAATACCTCTTAAGAATGAGGTACCCCAAATGAACAATGCAGCCATAAATAAGCTAACAACATTTGGAAGATTCAGGAAGAGTAGACAGGAAAATAAAATGTATAGTGATGACATTTTCATGGTCTCACATTTTATGGACCTCCAACACTACTTCCTTGATTTACAAGTTGGGTTTTTTTAATACAAAAGTATGGGATCTGGTAGAAAAAATAAAGGTGGTATTAGAATGCAGCTCCTTCTGTGACGCAGAGGAGGAAGTATTAATCAGAGCTACACAATAATTGCAAACAGCTGAGAATACCCATAAATATGGTTGAGACACAGAGCTTTCTGTGCAACCTCAGAGGCATATTGAAATGACAAAGTGGAGAAATAATTGCCAAACTGGTGATGACCATCACTGTTCATCATGCTTTGCATAGCAATGAGTATGCTGAGTGCCCTTCCCTATGCCAGCTACGTGGGCAAGCTATTGAGATTTTGCTAACATTGCACATAAATGAGCATCAGACGGCAAAAATATTTGGGGTAAGGGCGTCTTTCTCTTCCATCACTGTAAGCAGTATCATTCACACTCACATTGACAGGCAAGGACTTAATTCATAAAGAACATTTTAGCAATTAACACCTTGGTGATTTTTTACTTATTGCAGGAACCACATGTGGATGAAACCACCTTGCCTAGGTGTTAATCAGAGGATTAAAGGATATGGTGAGTTGGAAGGGACCCACAATAGTGAAAGTGTTTTGAAAACTTCTACAAAGGATGTTTGTGTAGAGTGTCCCTGAGAGTCTATGCCATTTTAGGAGGAGTGTGTCAGAGAGAATAAATAACCTTCAGCCCAAGATACGATTTCTTCTGAATTTGAAATAAAGGGCATGAAAGTTCCTATCATGAAAGGAACAAGAAAATTATCTCTCTGTCCCTTTTTATTTTTTTTAATTACTGTCAAATTTACTTCAAAACCAATTTTAACACGGCTTGAATCAGACATTTTGAGATGCTGACACTGAGTTTCTCTTCACAGACAGACATCTGAAGTGAATTTTAGTTTTGTTTTGGTTCTCCAGAGTACAGGTCACTTTCAAATGAAGAAGCTGAGAGCATTCTCTATTTTCCCATGGTTCATCTTGATAACTGTGGGCAGCTGCACAGTCCAAAGAGAGTTCCTGAAAGCACCATACTTCAGGGCTGTTAATTTGTTGGCATGGCTTCTTGGGTATAGAAGGTGTGTTTTAAGAGATTTGTTAGCAGTGACTACACCAAGAGCTTGTGACAAGATAGAAAGTGACTCTGCAAAATATCCTGAATGATTGATTCCTACTCTTTTTTGAAATTAACTTGGATTTCTATATAAATAGATTAGAGTTCTGCTATTGATTTGCATTTAAATAATTTCCATTCAATATGTTTTTTAACATAGTTTTGGCTTTGGGGGTCTCAGAATAACAGAACCTAAAAACCACATCTCTGTACACAAAATACGTTAATATACTCATTTTAACAACTTGTTTTTCGGAATATACTTAGGCCATTCAAGTGATTTAGTTCAAAGCTAAGGTCTGGTCTGTCTAGGAACTTGCTAAAATGGCTAAGTTTACTCTACTCAGCTTAGAATAGATCTTTGTGGTTTTCTTAACTTGATGTATGTCTTGGTTTGAAAGACAGGTGTCTGCTAAGAAAGGCAGGAGCCTCTCTTGAAATGGAAAATGTAAACCCCCTCCCTCCAAATTATTATAATTTTGAAATCAAGGGGCTCTCAGGCAAAGATATGAGAATAGGAATAACAGTTCTTCACTAGGAACATTAAAATAAAAGTACAGTAATACAAAATAAAAAAAGAAAGGAATCAAAACACTGACAGAGTCAGAATACAACCTGACACCCTGTTGGTCAGGGTGCTGATAGCAGTCCCATTAAATGGTGGCTGCAGTCCTCCTGGAGTGACAGATGTGGTTCAGTTGAAGCAGTGGTCCTGTAAAGGAGTGCAGTTTTCCTCCAAAGGTCCATGATGATGTAGAAGGGTCTGGTTTTCCTCTGGGAACCCAGTGGAAAAAGGAAAGGCTTGGCTCCTCCCCCTGGCTGGAGCATCTCCCAATGGGATGATGTAATTTTATTAGTCAAAAAGTAGGACTCAATAACCCATTAACCTTCCTGGAGGAAGGATGACTTGTGGAAAACATTAAGGACACTGCCCCACCTGGTTTTAACAGATAGTAATAGAATACATACCTTTGGTTACATCCTGCTTTGCAAGGCAAGACAATGTAAAACCTCGTGATTAAATTCTATGTTAAACACAGGAGCACTACATAGGGCAGCTGAAAACCACACAAGTGCATTATTATGTGTAAGAACTCCTTCCATCACAAAATTATATGATACATGGTTCCACCAGAAAACATGGTCAATTAATCTAAGCTGGCATTCTGCTAAGAATTGGAAAATTAAGAAATTAACCTAAACCAAGCAGTCCAGGGCACCTAGGGGTGTGTGCTCATATGCATATGGGAGCATATAATGTGCGTTAGAGTAGAAAGGACATACTGTATGATTCATCTTGCTGACAAGCAGAAAAATTACTTGATGTCTTAGATGGAGCCCTAATACTTCATAACTTTGTATAGGCTTTGGATGCAGTTTTGATAGACAGCAAAATATGTGTATGATGAACCACCTGCCATCTTCTTCTCATCAAAAAGTTATCTTGTTTATTAATTTATTTCTGACAAAGATAAAACTTCAGATAAGAGTTTCCATTCTACTTTCAATGCAGTACTCTATTAATGAAAGAAACACAAAATTACTAGTCATTATTTTCTTTCTCTTAGTCTACCATTGCCTTATACAATGTATAGAGTGTACATGAAAAAAAAAAGATAGTTGTACTGCTGTTCTGCTGTGGCGAAGAGAAAAAATGGAGAGGAAGAGGCTTTTTAGACAATTCCCATCATATCTCTAATAGTATGTAATAGTAATGGGGATATATATGTTATTAGTGGACAATTAGACTAACTAGGATGAGATTTTTGCCTGTCAGCTAGGCAGTGTACTGTGGGATTTTAATATTGCAGTTTTTAGAACTAAACTCTCCTAATAAACCAAATATGTAAGTTCTAATGCTACATAAATGAAGTTGATTTACGTGTGAATAGGCCAGCATACATACTTGAAATAAAGAGTGACAAATCCAGGCTACTGCATGTAGGTAGAAGGGACACACATTGAGGCAGGATGAAAAAGCCAGAACACTTACTTCCACAGTTTATTTCTCTTCTTCTCCCCACGTTTACTCAAAACAAGCTGCAAATAAAATCTTTGGGAAAGAGCACAAATACAATTCTGAAAAGCAAAGAAAGAGCTTTAGAGATCATAGATGAAGTTGTCATTGAAAGCAAAGAAATAGGCAGCTGAGGACATTACAATATTCATGTTGGCTGAACTGTAAACTCTTGAAAGTCTTTCCACACCTTTAAAGAGATGCAGAAGTCAGTGTAACAGGAAATGGAGATACCATTTTTAAAACAATAACTAGACTGAGGTCTGGATTCCCTTAAGGGTTAGGCTGATGCCACTCCTCAGGACTGCCTGGTCCATGGCCACGTTTGTGCTTAGAGAGTTCTTCTATTCACAAGACTTTAGGCCACAAAAAGGCAGCACTTATACATAAGATTTTATTAAGCTGCTTCAGCCCAATTAGCTATCAGGCTATATGCTATGGAAAAGACATTTAAATAGTATTTGTACTGTAGGAAAATAATACTCCTAACTGAAATAAGGAAGTGGAAAATCTAAATGTGCGTAGGCTAAAGATGACTTCTGTCAATAGAATTAATTGAAGGGAAGACTAATAAGATGATCTTCTGTAACTAACCATACCATTCTTTACCCATGGACAGTTCAGCTGTGTCGAAGACCACTGAGCTGTGTGTAAAACAGCTCCTGAATCATTAGCAGTTGCAGTTCAATTATTTTGAAGTAAAATTATAATCTTCTGTTTCCAAGACAAATTGAACCGAACTATGGTGTTTCAGAAGCAACCTAAGCCTCTGTGTAGCAAGGGTCCAGTACACTCAATGCTTTCACTGAAATGCATTGAACAGCTCCTGGGTCACCCAGAAACAATCTCAGTTTTTCTCTGTGTTTCAGTTTCTCTGTGTTTCTACTGTCCAAGTAGAAACTCCAGTGCCAATAACCTGGAATAATCAATGTAGGTGACATTGCCAATCTTTGCAAGGTTGTACTGCAATCTCCAGGGAGGTTGATAAAGGGGACGATTCACATTCAAATAAACCCTTGGCTCTGACGGTCTGGACAGTGTTTTTCCAACATTTCAGCTGGGCCACATGTGATACTTCATTAAATTTGCCTACTCTGTAGCTGCTAAAATCATACAAATACATCCATTTTGAAATGGGTTTTATCTCTTCTTTGCCACCACTCAAGATGTGACTGAGTATGCCAGAAAAGCTGGCAGCTGTAGAGAAGCTGGAGGTGAAACAAAGAGCTTTTTCACCAGGTAGGGCTGTCGTCATCTCTGATGGAAGTAGGTTTTGCTATGTGAAAGATTTGGCTGCATTTGGGATTGATTCAAGTTTTTTCAGTTTGCCCTTGCTTTCTTACGATATTGCTATTTATTTCTAGGCATAGCTGTAAAAAAGGTCCTTCAACCTTTATTGTCATGATGTAAGTCTAAATGCTGGATGAACAAAGCTGTTGGGAAGGGATCAATCTGCCAATAGCCAAAGGTCAATGCCTGGGTATAAACTGCAGAAATAAAATCAGTCCACCATAACCTCAATCCTTCAAAGATACAGGCAAAATGCCAAGATGGGTCACTCACAGTGCCAAAGCACAGGTTGCAGTGGCTGTCAGCCAAGCTAAACAGCACAATGAGGGGTTCCAGTCTTGCAGACTAACAAGCCTACAGCATGCAAGCACCACATATCTCCTACAAAGATGCTCAGGTAGTGTCACTAAAGTCCCAAAAGTTCATGAGTCATGTGAAATGGACAAGGTGGGAAGCAAACCATAACTGTCCCCATGTTATCTAGATAATTCATACACAGATACCCATCAGATCTATGGCAGTAGATCTAGCTGAGTGCACACTTCAGAGCTCAGCATCAATGCCAGCTTGATTGGAATTCTTAGAATGAACCTGTCGTGAATCTTAGTGCATATGGCCTTGAAAGAGAACCTTACCAAGCTTATTTTCCCATGATAGCACCCTGCCTGGCTTTGCTCTACCCTGTCCTTAAGTTTGCCCTCTGCTGTCAGGGGTTGATCTGCTCTGATCTTCAGCGCGTTTGGAGTATAGGAGAACTGTACTCCAGATGTCTCCTGCCTGCACTGTCAGTGACACAGTGACATTTTTGTTATGGATCTGGGCTAACTGGGTAAGCCAGAGCAAGCAAAGAGTGTGACAGAGGATGATGGGTGGCTCTACACAGGAAAGGAGTGTCCTGGCCCCAGCCACAGCCTACACCAAGAGAGGACTGTCCCAGACACAGCCAGTTCCCAGCCCTCACTGTGCTCTCCAGGCTCTGCTACAGCATCTCTGGGTTTAAGTCCTCCCCATTCTGATAAGTCAGAGGAAGGCCATTCATACACTGAGGATAGACCTGCACATCAAGACACCAAATTAAAAAGATGTTTTTAAAAGACAGACAAAGTGCTGAATGTTGTTGATAGACAAAGTTGAGCAGGATCTTTCAGAGTTTGGTGTGCAAGATTGGTATCTAAGACACAGGTGTTGAGCAGATGGCCTTCTTTTTAAGTATAGATGCGCTGTGGTATTTCATAAACTTCATGAAAGGAAAGTCAGGGCAACACAAAGCTATTTTTTCCTACTTAGTAGCTGGAAGTAAGGTGAATTTATCAGCTTCAGTGGTGTCCCTTCTGAACACCAGCATCCCACAAAGCAAAAAGGCAAACAAGTAATGCAGCACAGCATGGCATGGTTGAAATGATCTGTCTTGTTTTGTGCACCCGAAAATATAAACGTTTTGGTACAAGGCAGGTGTAATTCAGTCTTTGTGCTGACTCGGGCTTGGCAATTAGCTGAGGAAAAGCTGCAAAACATGATGAATTGTTTGTTAATAATTGGGATTTTATGTCTCTGTGTGTGCGAGCGCGTGCATATGGACAGCTGCAGCTCAGTGGGACTGAGAAACTAGGGTGGACTGCATTTAGTCCTCACTGCAAAAGTGAGGACTTCACTGGCTAAGCCACCAATGACTCTTCTTTCTCCTCCTTTCTACTCTTCCATATACTCATCATATAGCATCTTTATCTATATTCAAGTTCTCAGATATTATTTAATCCACACAGTCCCTACCTGCCCATCTATAAAAGAATTTTTTCCATTGCAGTGGAAAGTTACAATGTTTATTACATCTCTATCTAAGATGAACCCCAAAGAAGGCATTTTATCCTCACTCATATAACCATCATAAGGTAGAAAATGAAATTTCAAAAAAAAAAAAAAGCCTGTAGGAGAACTTCAGTGAACCGCATGTCAGTTTTTACTTTGATGTATACTATGTTTAAAAAAAAAATCTGGGAAGGAGAGGTGGTGAGGAGAGGAAAAAAATGCACTGAATATCTTCCGGGAGATTTCCTCTCTATTGCTTAATTCTTTCGATTGTAGAAGGAAGAAAATAATCTCTCCTTGCTGCCTGGTTTGAGAGTGAAAGTATTCTGAAAAGACATTGTCAGAACTTCATTTAGTACCATGGATGGTTTCTCATTCCCACTTGCATCTTAATAAAAGTAAATGTCACCTCAAGGTTTGCAGTGAGGGTATAATGATTTTAAAAACTTTGGTGGTATTGGCAGATAAATCCTTTGTTTCCTGAGATGATTTAGAAAGGAGCTTTATCTCAGACTGGTGAACTTTGTCATCTGAAGTAAAGGAGAAGCTGGGGTTAATGGTGTGTGTTTATCCAGGTGATGAGTGCTAGTTTCCAAAATGTATACTGCTGTTTATTTCCTGGGAGAGCAGAGTTTTGGTCCTAATTGTCAAGGGCAGTTGAATATATTAATATCTTTCTCTCTCTCTGTCCCTCTCTTCTCTGTTCAGTAAGACATTTAAGCACATACTGTACTAGTTCAAGAAGAAGAGCCCTGTATTTCTCTCCTAGTGGCAATTGCATTCTCTCTACCTGCTTTCATTATTTGGTTGCGTCTTCAAAGTAATAGCTCTTTTTCTTTCATGGTTTTCCTAAACTAACTCTGTCTTTCCTCACTCCTTTCTGCCACCTCATATTTGCACTTACAACTACTGTCAGTGTCATCTGTGCCTGCCATCTGCTTCCGGAATATTATGAAGCTGTAATCACAGGACATTTTGAAATTTATTCATACAAATCAAAGACATTCAGTTGCTGTCAGGGGTGGATTTAGAGCTAGGAAAGGCATAGGTCTCCTGGCAGAGACTTTCAGAAACAGCAGCTGGCAGAGGGAAGCTGTAGGAGGTTTCACTGCCCAGTTTTCCATCCCACCTGGCTCCTGACCTCCAGCATTTTTGCATTCTCAGGGCTGTCTTCAGCTGAGATCAGCTAACTCTGCCAGATCTGCAGTTTAGTGGTAAACATGAATCTGTGTGAGAATGAGACCAAAGGAATTTTTCACTTGTGTCCCCATTTATGCCTAGCCTGTAAAATTGTATAACCACAGCAGTAAGCTCTGTCTCGCTCCCTTTACAAAAAGGCTGTACCTCAGCATACATTTTTTCTTCATTATTTGAGGTAGGGGCTACTTTATTAAGTCCAAGCAGTACCAATAATAGTGGCCTAATCCCAATCAAGAGCCTCTAGATGCTACTCTAGTAAATGGTAGAACTAATATCAGATGGGTAGATATCTGTATCATCCCACATGGAAAGCAAATGCTAAGGGCTGATCCTGCACTGCTCAGTTTATACTCTCAAGTTCCAGAATAATGGAATAGGTTGAAATAAACTAGGTTTGCATTGTGAGATGCTGTAGACTGCTTCTATTGCTCCAAGAGAGGTTCTACAAAATGAAACCGCGGGTGCCAAGGACCCACATACAAAGTATGTACATTTCAGGGTAGTGGAGTTTTTACTTTGGATTTTCTCTGCTGTGATCTCTGGACTGATTTGTAGCAGAAGAGCCTTAGTCGCAATGTTGGTGTGCAACTTCTAAGTTGGCTTCATAAAGAAAGATGGATCTGTGCTCTGTGCAAGCCAGGGTAGAGGTGAAGGAGAACTGCACACTTCTTGTAAAACTAGATGGCTGATTTTTGCAGTATACTCCACTGATTTGACACTATTTAAAATCCGTTTTCGAATGTTTACTCTTTGAGAGTTAATTTTCATACATTTGGCAGATTGGTATACCTTTCAAAATGTCTCTTCTAGGTGTCCTGTTTTCCAGAAACACCTTCCGTATGTCAGTGTTTCTATAGATGTCTCTAAATGGAAACATCATTATGTAGGAAAAGCAACAAAAATGATAAAAGAACTGTTACATATTTCTGTAAAAACAAACCAGTTGCTCAGATTCCCTTTTCCCCCAAGACCTATAAAGGGGTGGAGGTCCAACATGAATTTAATGTACCTATGGCTCCAGTGAAATGGGTGCACAATGCCTGTGGTCCCCGTGCTGGCTAAGCTGCTGCGGTCTCAGCTAGTAGCTGGGGGCAAGCCAGCTCAGGGTCCTGGAGGCTGTAGACACAAGCCAAAGATCTGTGGTCAAAACACTTGGCAGGTATTAGACCACACGGAAATCAAACAAGTAGAACAGCTTCATTTGGCTCTGTTTTTGCTGCTGAGTTGCTGTGTGGGAATAAAGAAGTGTGACCTACTGATTTGCAGTGGCAGTACAGCAGCTGAAGAATTGCAAAAGCAGGGTGGTTTAATCCCAGAGGCTTTGGATGGTTGTTTGTTTTTGTTTTTTTTATTTAGGGAGACATCTTCAAGACACACACAAAGGAGCTGAATGTGACACACAGTGAAAACAGGAGCAGTGTTTTCAAGGGATCAGTATTAGGATGAATTTCTTCCCTATAATTGTCTACCTACTTCCTGGTGCCACAGCACTTGGTAGCATTCCCTCACAGGTGGGAAAATTGGTGAAGCTATACTTAATTAGAATTTAAATCCCTGACATGGATATCTTGAGAAGAAAGGTTAGTTGCCTGGTGCACTGGCTTTACAAGGGATGTGGCTGGTACCATGTCAATGAAGGCTGGCAATAGTGCAGGTGAAAGGGCAGCCATGGAAAGAATCAATGAAGACAATAGTAATGTCAGGGAAATACAAAAGACAGGGGAGAGGCCATGATATATTACCATCCTCCATGAAATGCCTGAGCCACTTGTCCCATGGTGGCAATTTGTCGTGTTTGCTGTCAGGTAATGTGGATTGGCAGCAGAGATCTAGAAACAGAGGAGGAAATGGTGGTTGTGCACAAGCAGGTGGGAAGGCACTGAGTCCTTGAGTCATGCTGCTATGGGGATGCTGTTGTTGGCACACAATGGTGAAGCAGCCAG